ATAGTTAAACATATTTCAAAATTGGAATACTGGCTGACATTCAAAATAGTTCAAATAGTCGTTATAATTTTTATAAAAACTTTATCCATACCAAAAGTTAGAAAACAGAGAATTTGTATTCCAAAATTAGATATACAATTAAAATTAAAATTATATAAATTAAAAAACACAATAAATATGTTGCTACTTTGTCAATCCATTATTCAGACTCTTTTAGATCTGACAGAAATATATATATGCTATTATCTCCCGATTTGTATTATTATTAACTTAATAATATATTAATCAAATGTTCCGAACAATTCTTGAATGAAATCCCCCATTTTTTTTTTGGCTCCAAATTTGTACCATTTGTACAATTTGTTACCCCATTGTACCAAGTCGACTTCGGCTTTCGGACTCCGATTCCGTGTCGGATTCCCATTCGGTTTCGGTTTCGGACTCGAGCGGCATCCGCCACGATTGCCAACACAGTCCGATATTCACTCTCAAACTGTACGGTTTGGCAGCGGCAGCTGTTTGGGAAAAGCGGAAAAGCCGAGGAGGAAAAGCGGAATAGCGAATAGCGAGGGGAAAGGCGAGCAGGGAAGCTGAGCGGTTGAAGGCAGAGCGCGTCGTGTGTTGTCTTCCTCCTCCATCTGCGAAATACGAAATTCCGCAATAAACAATTGTTGTTCAAGTTTAAACAATTCAAAAGTGAGTGTTCCAAGAAGTGCATCCAAAATAAATCTACAGGATCTATAAAAGATTCCCCAGTAAATAACAATGGATCAAAAGAGAAGCAGACACAATTAACTAAAAATTAATCAAATAACTAAACAGAAAACATGAAAATAAACCAGAACTATGAAAATTAAATATAAATAATAAAAATATACAAAACAAGGCCAATTTAAACTTTAGAAAACATACAAAATCGTTTAAAATAAATGTCAAATTCTTATTGAAACGAAAAACACAAACAAAAAACTGAAACAAACATGGAAAATTAAATAATTTTACAATAAATGTTGCATTAAACAATTGTAAAATGTTTCCATGTTGAAAAACAGCAATATTTCCTTAATACCAATAAAATTATCAGAAGAATTAAAAACCAAATAATAATAATTTATAAATAAAGTTCTAAAAAACAGAAATAAAACTTAAAAAAATATAGTAATAACCCTTCATTGTTATTTCCCCAGTCATCCTGTTCTTTTGTGCAAAAAAAAAGATACTACATAATAGTCATAAACATAACAATTGTAATAATCATAAATAATAACAACAATTTCGTGTGACGTTTTATTTAGTTAATGCCGAAAAGAGCAAAATAAACAAAAACAACACAAAAACCAACCACTTTTTTCAATTGTAATTTCCGGTGTAGCGGAATTTCACTGTGCATTGTCTTTCTCTGTGAGTGTGTGTGTAAGTGTGTGTGCCAGCGAGTGTGGGAGAGAGAATCAAGAAGGAAAAAGAAAGAAAATCTGGAGGAAACAAAAAAACATAAACAGCCCAGAACAACGTGTTTGCTACACGACTGTGTGTGTGTTTGTGTGAGTGTGGAAAAATAAAAGAAAACTGAACCCTACTCAAATAAAATTCAAATAAAATAATAATAAAAACAAGACCCAAGAAAAGTGCAAAAATGGCCTTTGCTTTATTGAATTTATAGCCGACTTTTGTCTCGACGCTCCATATTGAGGTTACATAAAGATACAACTCAAAAAAAATAAAGAACTATATACCAAACCCCTTAAAAAAATGTGGTTAAAATGGTTTGGTTGATTAAACCAAAAACACAGCAAGGGCTAAGCCAAGTTTATTATTTGTTTGTTTATAAATAAATTAAATAGGAGTTTCAGAAGGTTCTTGAAAATAATCAACTAATCAAATAAACTAGCTAATTGAACTTGTATATATTATAATATACACTTGGAATAATATACATATATTATACAAATTTCTAGTGAACTATATTGCTTAACTGACAGCTACTAGCAATTGATTAGCTAAACAACTTGTCTAACGAAATTCTTAGAAATAAGCTTATGAGCTCTAAGAACAATTTCCATTTAGCTAATATATTGAATGAATATATAATTTATTCAAGATTAGTAAACTGTTTAAATAAATACATTTCCATTCCATATTATCTTTTGACTCCATATAATACTCCTAATAGTTTCCTATAAACCCCTTGACTTTGCTCACCTGCTGAGCCTATCAATTACATCCAATTACCGATAATCTCCACTCAATAATCAACTCAAAACTTTTACTTAAATTTACAAAGTTTGAGCCAAGGAATTATGGCCCAAAAACTGACCTAACCCAATCCATTGGGTTGACTGCAAAAGCAAATATTTATCTGGTCAGAGATGGGGGCAAAGTTAAACCAACATATTTACCGTGTTATCTCTGTAGATACTTTAACTAAGCTAAGCTCATCAATTGTGCAAAAGGGAAAACTTTTGCAAAATCAGTTAGATATGTATGTACATATATACTTCTTAAGGCCGTAGAAAAAACTTTGATTAAACATAAACCAAGGCACTCCCCTTGCAATACAATGGAGCCAAGGTTCAGGAAATTTCCACTCCTCTCTCTAGACTGTCAGCTAATTAACATGGAAAATTTCCCCAGAATATATCGTTTACTTAAGGCGAACTTTTCGGTAATGGTGGAAATGCAGGGGAAGAGGTGGTGGCTATGGCTGTGGCGGCGCCATAAGTTTTCAGAATTTATAGAGTCGACGGCGAGCTTTCTATCGATAGATAAATATATTGTACGTAGCTATAGCTGGGCGAGAAACAGATACAAGTGCTTGTAGATACAAAGATACAAATGAAGCGACCACAAAACAAATGGCTATAATAAACAATTAAAAATTATTTACTTGCCAACGCCGCTGCTGCTCCTGTTCGGTTCGGGTTCGGTTCGAAATTGAAATTGAAATTGAATTATAAACAATTGAGTGGTGATTCAGTGCAACCTCAAACTATGGCAAATCGAAATATACATACATGTATCTAATGCATCAATCTATATATATTTTTTCAGTCTGTGGGCCAAAGTGCAATACTCAATCGAACACTGAAGCATTCCAATTAAACAAATACTTGATCAAAGTGCAATACAAATAAATCCAGCTGAAAATCAACGTGTGTGTTCACTGATTTTGTTTATGAAAAACCTAAAAGCCTAAATGGATTTGCATAATTAACTATTTTGTCAGAAAAATCATTAAACATATATATATAAAACATAACTACGAATAAACTTAAGAAGCATATAAAATAACTACAATTTTTGTGCAATTTCAACTTTAATTATAATAATAAAAACGAGCAAAATAAAATCAACAATAAAATTAATTGCCTTTAAAAGGTCAACAGATTTTTGCTAAAACACACTTTTTGCTAAATCGTGCATAAAAAGCAAAATACTTTATAAACTCCATTTAGCTAAATTGTTATAAAATAAAATTTATAGAATTACTGATAAACAAATTAAATACAGTTTTAAACACTACAACTTTTTTTATAATTATTAAAGTGAAAAAAAAAATATATTAAATCAACTTTAAATGCAATTTACTGAAAAGGATTACATTTAAAATACATAACGCTGAATTTTCATCACTGTAAGTATAGAAATATTATTATAAAACTATTACAAATCTGATTATAAAACCACTTGAACAATCCAAAAACGTTACAATTCTTTGCTGAACTTGGGGATTTTATAATAGATTTTTTTAAAGGGAATTTTAACCGAGAATTTTAAATAAAGATTTTTATGAAGAATCTTCTGATTATTCCTAAGCTAAAATAAGTGTTAAATCATTCAAAGAATATTTATTAACACTTAATTCCCTGAAATCTCTTCTACCTTATCAACAATTAAAATGTTGACCCATTTTATGGTTTTATTTTGATAATGTAGGTCAACATTTCAACGCTTGTTCACTTGTTTATCAAAGTGGATTCCCTTTTCTTTTTTTTCTCTTTCCTTGCAAAAATATATAATATATAAAAGCAGAAAAACCTCCACTTACCTGAGTGATTTTCACATAAGAGGCTTACTAGGCAAACAACAAAACAAAAAAATCCCCATCAACAGAGCCCATCAAATAAATTTAAACATTCCACCACGATTGTAGATGGCAGATACTTTTATTATAAAGATATATTTATATATGTATATAAATATATTTTATTGTTTAGCCCTTCGTGTAGACTGTAGAGTCGGGAAAATTGATTGTTTTCCCCCTGATAAACAACAATCCGAACATGCAATTTTGTAATTATTAATTTTACGGTCTGTTTGAGTTGAGCTTGTTATTTTGTGCGAATTTTAAGAAGAATTCCTTGCAGCGTGGCTAACTGTTGATCATTTCCGCCCCGGCTTTAATTTTTTATTTACCATTATTTTTTTTTGTTTTGGCCAAAAAAAAACTGTCCAACTGTGTCGGAGGTCAGTGAACTCGCGATGCGTGTTTGTTTAGGCCCAAAAAAATCCCACCAATGCTTTATTGCGGTTATTGACTTTCAACTCATTCCACTTCTTCATCTCTTTTATCTTTGGTCGTCTTTTAAAATCTTTTTCTTATTTTTTTTCTTGGCCCACACACACTTGTCGTCCATCAACGTTCTGGGCCTAATTTCCTTTTCGGTTTTTGGGTGTGTTCCTCATCTACCAACAAAAAAAGGGGGACGCGGCAAACGAATTAACATAATCAAATTTACCTTTTTTCTTCTGTACTTTGCGAACACGCTTCGAAAAGTAAAAACTATTATTTAATTTTCGTGTCAGTCGGTGCGATGCCCCAGCAAATGGCATTGATGTATTGAGAAATTGAAGCCCATTTTTACACCTGCCAATAAATGGTAGACAAGGTGAGCCTCTTTAAACAGATTATGCCAAAAGGGCTTTTGAAGCCCAAATGGTAATCTAATAATAAACAAGATATGGGTTTAGATAGCTTCTAATATAAACCCTATTTATTTGTTCATTCTTTTATTTAGTTGTCAAAAATTAAGCTTTTTAGCATTGTGATAAATTAAAAACTTTTACCATAACATTTACCATGATTTCATGGTTTCGTATTAGGGGATTCCTCTGAGGACTTTCAATTCAATGACGTGTCCTCGAATCCAACAGAAAATTCTTAAATAATGAACTATAACAGCATTTACTGTGGAAATGCGGCATCAAGTAATCCTTCAAAACTCGGCATTTGTCAGCGAAGAACTTCTCAACGAAGGGCTCGTTACGAGATTCAAGAACGTCGTCGATGGCGGGAAAGGAATCAAGGAATGATTAAGGAGCTGTCCCACATGATTGGTGCTTGGCCCGAGGATATTGATGATTTCCTGTACGACCTCACGCTGAAGAATACTCACACTTGCTTAATCCCAAGGAATGTGGATGGAGTTTCTGCCATGTGCCACTTTGCTATCCGAATGTCTGTGATCGCTACATGGGTATATTTGATCACTATGGGAATTTGAAGGATCCAACACATCCAAAGTGTCTCCATCATTTGCTACAATTGCTGCAGGACTATCTCAATGGGGCTTGTCATAATTGCTGCTTGGGATTACCCATACATGCAGAGTATTCCGGGGTCGTCCATTCAGTGATTGCCAATTTAGAAAACCATTCAATTACCATGACCCCGAAATGGAGGTCATCGATGGAAACTCTTTATTTATGGATTTGAAAAACTCGTTGGATACGAGTTTTCAAATGCCAAAAAGGAAATCGCCGCCACGAATAGAGTCACCAGTTTATTCACCCATCAGCAGCCCAAGAATGACAATAGATAGACCCTATAATATTAACCAAACTGGCGATGATGATCCCAGATTCCGTTCAAAACTTAAGAGAATTAAAGGACGAAGTTCGGTTTTCCTCAATGACGAGCTCGCCTTGGCCCACAATAGATCACACATTTACATGGAGCAGCTGGTGTCAAAGACATTGGTTCGACCTCACAACAAAAACAGTTTTGTTGGACCTATAGGGAATCTTCGGAATGAACGAATACGGATTCTAATTAAACAATTAATTCTGAAAAAGGGACGCCGATTTGATCCCGATGAGTTGAATCGGATCATTGAAAAGTTGATATCGGTCCGCATATGGAGCAGAAACGCCAGAAGCAAATAGCCCTTGAGATCTCGCGGTTGTACAATAATGTTGTGCAAAGAAAGTCATCCGTTGCGTCACAATATCTAACACCGACCAAGACGAAGAACCCACAGAATTGGAAACGCCCCAAAAGATCTCTGTGGCGTATCTCACTACGGATCCATGAGCCTCGAGCTAGTGCCAAACCGTATAGGAAGCGTAGTATCTTTCAGAATCATCATCGTAGAACTGTAGGAGGTCTGAAATCCAGCCAGGGTGAGGAAGATAGGTCAAGTAAAGATGCATAGCGAAGCACAAGGTGTTACATTTTTAAAATTAAATGATAAATTACTCAATCGAAACATCTTAGAGATTTTTGTTTCAACATTTTAGGGTACAATTTTGGGGACAACACATATATTTCAAAATTGAAATGTAATTAGATTGGTTATAAATATGCCATATACCTACTGCACATACCAATTGCCAATTGAAACCGGTACAATCTCATTTTGTAAGAATGCCTGTGCCGCAAATTTCTACTATCCAGGAGGGAGAGGGATTCCCCGGAGCGGCAGTTATGGCAAGATCGGAACTCATTGGTGATCGAAAGAATAGCCCAAATGGTTCAGAGAACCCCGCATCAAATTGGTGAATTTCTCAACGATCTTACCATGCAGAACTTTAGCAGCCTGATGTACCCCAAGGGATGTGGGTGGAGTCCCTGCAACGTGCCGCTCTGCCATCCATATGCCTGCGATCACTACATGGGCATATTTGACAGGCGCGGCAATTTGAGAGACCCCACCCACCCATGGAGTCTAAACAAGCTACTCCAATTGCTCCAGCGTGTCCTAAATAATGACCCACTAACTGGAATGAGCATGTCCCAGCCATATGGATCCTCGCAGATGGAGGGAGAGTCGAAGCTAAGAAGAATAAGGTACCCTGGTCTTTCAATAAACCAACACCAACACTGGATAGTGCCCCGTCCTATAGGCAAGATGAAAAACAATCTCGTGAATTGAAATCAGGTCAAGATAGCAATATAAACATCAGGAATCTGGTCACAGATTTGGTCACAGGGAAAAGCAAGGATAGGTTAGTTAATAATACTGATGGGTTACCTTCCTTGAGGAATCAGAAGAGAAGTAAGGATCAAATCTTTGCGTCCAACAATCAGTCAGCTTTGATTAGCAAACAATTATCAAGGATTAGCTTTAAGGTAATTGAGCCAAAGGATCAAGAAAAATCGAATAAGTTCAATTCAATTCAAAAAGAGCAGAAAGTGGAACGTGAACCCAACAAAGATATTACATATTTCAAAGACTACATTGCTGATAAACTAAATTATCGTCACTATAAAACACCAAAGGACGTCGAAGATGATGATATTTTTGTGCGAGGATTCATTCACCACGTCGATTCCTATTTCATAAGAAAGGCAATGTATATGCGCCAGAAACCTAGACAATCAACTGAAGTGGAATTAATTATTAGAAATCAGGTCGAACAGAGTGGTAACATGGTGGATGCCGATGACATGGCCAATGCCATTCGTCTGGTGAAATTTGAAGATCCACCGCAGATTAAGACGGACAGAAAGGATAAGAATAAGGTGGCAATGGAGATATCCCAGATGTACACTGATATTACAGCGAAAAAGACGCACCGTCGTGGCCATAAGTATATTGCCGAACAGGTGCCAATTCTATTCCATGCACCCTTCGATGAGAATAAACCCTGGACCTGGCAACATCGACATCCTGGACAATTGCGGGTAACAGCCGAAAATAAAATTGGTAACTCTCACATCAAACGATATCATCCAGATTGGGTCAAAAACAAATTGATTGAACTGAAAAGCAAATATCAATTCACTCGCTTTATAGTGTACGAGAAGAGGCGCAACCAATGTTTGGAGGAAAATCAAAGAAACCAAAACGATCATCAGCAAGTTCACAGTGAATAAATGTTAATTAGTAAAAATAATAATATTAAATGGGTAAATAATAATTATAATAGGTCAATAGGAACAAAAAATTGTTTTATTACTCAGAGAAAGCTCAACCTTAAACTTAAGTTCTTGCTTTGCCAAAGTATGCTTGGAGGTTTCTAAGATGTATTCCTTGTCATTCTAAATTTCTAGCTCAAATCATACATAACTAAATTTTTGGAATACTAATTCAAAATTTTACTGTTCCGAAAACCCCGAAAATCCCAAAAACGGCCAGGTTAAAATGTTTTACTGTCGATCGCATAGCGATCGCAAGGATCCCAATGCAGAACGAGGAGTTAGCTCTTGTCAGTCCGCTAAGAAGCGATGGGGTCTAATGAACATGGGCATGATCCAGGTCCTGGCCAGGATGGTGAATCAGTCAGCCGATAGAGTGGGACAGTTCCTGCATCAGCTTACCCTGCAGCTCTTCGCAAGGATACTCTACCCATTGATGTCGGGTTGGAATACCCGAAAGATACCATTTTCCCTGCCCTCTACCTGTGATCTCTACTACAATATATTCGATGATAAGGGCAATATTAGGAGTCCCATACCCACAGGGACCTTGCTCATACTCATAAGTATGATGCAATATTTCCTAAACTTACCCAGACTATGTGAGCGGAAATGCAAATGTAGGAATACCGATGATAGTCTCAAGCATATACATAATGCCGGTTATTGTCGGAATGTTGTACCCTTCAGTGGTTGCTGGACCCCAAAAAGGGAATCCCCTCCAGGTAGAGATATTTGGACTGGTCTCAACGATTGGGTTATCATAAGACTCTGCTGGATTGGAGAGTTTTCCCTCGGATGAGTCTATACTTACGGATATGCACCACATCGGTGTCATTGTCAGGATTCTAAGGGTCCAGAAAGCCTACTGTAAATCCTTATGCCAATATTTCAGGACCCTTGGCTTTACAAAGTGCCTGCAAGCAGGAGATGCAAAGTCCTCTGTTAGCTTCCGATTGCAAACCAAGGTCTCCATTGGAAGGGATGTCGCCGCAACAAGTTCAATGCTATTATATTGCCAACATTTCAAAACTTTATTCTGCTGTCGTAGAAGATCATCATTCGCGGCAACTTTTGAGTGCGGTGAAGCCGCCAAAACCGAGGATTATACCTTGCCAGGAAAACGACGATCTGCCGGTGGTATGATGATTCCCCAACCCTATTTCAATGGCTTTCCCTGGAGTAAGTTACATCGCGATTCACCGAAAATTACTCAGTTCTTCAGTAAAAGGGCAATAACTCCATATAGAGGTAAAAATATTAAGGAAGGTGATCAAAAACTTGAAAATAGGCCAACTGTTCAGGCCTTTCAACCCTTCAGGTCACAACAAAGACTTCACTTTACCATTAATAACTTTTCCAAATCTACAGAAATCTTCCACAAAGCATTAGTTATGCAAGAGATATATCAGGAAGTGATCAATACAATACAATATACAATGTAAATCAAGAAAGCCAGGTCAAGGATCCATTGGTTTATTGGAAGAACATGATGAAGATAGATCAGTTGACAAGCGCACATAAAAAATGTAATATCTCAAACATATTTTACCCATAAAAGAAGACCAAAATTATCCATTTCCGAAACGAATATTAATCCTATTAAAGTAGAAACTAGTAAAAACCTTAAGAAAGAATTCAAGACAAGTCCAAGGAGTCCATAAAACCAAAACCTTTTAAGAAATAGAAATAGTTAAGACACATCAGAAGCGTAAAGAGTCTTCTCGAAATAGTAAGTCCCTTATTGATGTAAAGATACAAAGACGGGGAGTAATATCGATCGGAGTAAGCAAGTTCAGTTACTAAATTCAAGCAACCCAGAACCAAGTCTTTGGATCGTGTTTTACAATCAGGGACCAAGATAGAAAATTATCCAGATCTAAAGAAAAATAGGAACAAAGCCATCAAGAACATTCTAGAATAGAAGGATTCTAGAAAAGTTGCCGGTGAAAGTCTTTTCTTATAACCCCCCTAGAGTTATAAAAGTCAAGTTGAACTAGTTAAGCCTAAAAAAGTTCAACCACCTCCAGAGGACATAAAGAAACCATTGTTAGATCAAAAAACTATACAAAATTAAAGTCCTTGGACAAAAGAGTAAACTTCGAGTACCCATACTTCAAGACAGGAAAAATCAGTGTAATAAATCAATTGAGAGATCTATATACATAGCAAATTCAGCATTGCAATATAGATCAGACCGAATCCCACAACAAGTCATTACCAAAACCAGATGCAAGAACTCTGGTAGCCAATGAGAAAGAAAGATTGATACGAAAAGCCAAGTCTCTAATAAATACTATACGAAATCGAGATAGAAAGCATCACCAGAAGCAAAATTAAGATTTCCAACTTATTCATGGCTTTAAGTAAAAGATTGAGCAAGAAAACTACTGAAGTTTTAACTCAAGTAGTTCTGATGATGCTGGAAACTAAATATCATTTCAACCTGACCTAATGCTTTTACATATCGTTATTTATTCATAGTACTTAATATCAAGTTTGCTTAATCATGTGCCTGGCCGTCTATTAAATTACAGTTTAAAGAGTGTATAGCTTGTGGTTTTAAATATATATTTTCAGATATATATCTATATATTCTACCAATCCATGGGTGTCCACCTACGTTGATTTTAAATCCGCAGCATTTGCAGCATAGTTGCGGTGCCTTTTACCTATTTTCCCCGATGACGATGATGATGATGATGATGGTGATGGTGATGCGGCTGCTGCTGCGGGACTCCGCTTAAAAGCTTTTCCGCTCACACATTCCTTTAAAACCCATTTTTGGTCCTCATATCGTATAGTTTGCCTTGATTCCCTCAAAGTTTGTTGGGCTGATTTAAATATTTCTCCGCGTTTATTTGAATATTTTGTGCAGGCACGCAAAAAGTTTAAGGGAAAACTGTTGGGGACTACTTGGCTCATTTCGAGGCGTTTACTTTACTTTGGGGCCCATAATATGAAGTCTCCTTCTCTCCACCCCCCCAAAAAAACCTCATCTATCCGCTGTATATTCTAGCTGTAGGCCATAAGCCAAAGGGCAAACGTTTTGTGGCCAAACGCAATTTTCCCGGTAAAGTCGAGGAGCGTGTTAGTAACAAGTGCCTCTCACTTTGTTTTTGGCCCCCCTCGGGTTGGCCCCATCAACTTGTTCAGCAGCTCTTTTCAAGCTGGCTCAAAAGCGACTGGGATTAGGATTTAAGACAAACAGATTAGAAATTCATACGAGATTTAAGTATATACCAAGTTAGCTTGAATACATTTGATATTTAAAAAGAGAGAGAGAGAAGTGGGTTTTATAATGAAAGGATACAATCTTTGCACAGCTAAAGGAGGGTTTTCTATTAGAAGAATTAGATAACTTTAGGACTTTATTTGGTTAATAAATCAGCTTAATTTTATTTGTGATACAGTATTTTTTCATAAGAAATAAGGATATTCCACATTAGTAAAAGGTAATCATATTACGTATACGCATGTGGCTAGTAATAGGTAATCCATATTACGTAGCCATGTGGCTAAAGTTTATATCTACGTTAGTGTCTCTTAGCATAATTTCGCAATATTAATATCTAAATAAAAGAAATCAAAGAACTTAATTTTGATGATTTAAGATAATGTGTTTTTTTATATATTATATTTTCAGTTAAAGAAGTTATATATATGTTTAAAATTAAATAACAGCTAACATAAAGCAATTAAAAGACTTGAATCTATTGCTATCAGATTAATTTTCCAAATTTTCTCTAGGATATGGTAATAAATCTCATCTATTTTGTTCATTTACTAGCATTTAATATATTACAATTTAATATAAAACAACTGGATACCAAAATTCACAACCATAGCACTCTCTAAGCCCAAGTTACTTGAGGTTAAAACAGCCCTTACTTACTCTGCCTAGATCCTATGACCAAGACTCCCCCTCTCACTCCTCCCTTCCCCACTCCCTCTCCCCCTCTCTTTCTCCCCTCTTTTCCCTCATATTGGTCTTCCATGTCGCCATAGTGCTTATCAGTCTGATGCTTCTGTGATGATAATAATTCAGAGTCAAATATCTCGCGACGTCTAGTGGCCAAGAGGCATGATTTATGGCATTCCATTCGAGACTTAAACAATACGATAATTATTTATTAGAGTGGATACTAACTCTAGTATATATAGGTACTTTGTGTGAGCAATGCAAACATATACAATAATATGTATGTTTGTATATATAAATAATAAGTTTTTGTTTGGCTGCAATGACTTTGCTGATGCTGCTCCCTCTCTCTCTCTTCCTTGTGCAGCAATTTATAATGTTGAGTGCCAAGCAGTTAGGAGGGATCTCCGTTTTATACAGATACAGATACAGATATATATATATACATATAGTATCTTTAGGGAGAGAGAGGAGAGAGAGTATAGAGCAGAGACAGACCAGAGTCGCCCTGACAAAACCAGTTGGAAATGGCCTGGCAAATGGAATTATTGCAATGGAGTGCTGAAAACTAAATCATCATCTTCCATCCAAGATCCAGTCCGAGGGATTGCGATGGGATGGACTGGGACTGGGGGCCAGAACAATTGATACACTCTCCCCAGCAGCTCATTTAATATTTATGCGCATTTAGCTGGGCACTTTTTCTATGGCAATAGTTTCAGTTTGGCCCATGCGTAAATATGCGCAAATAAATACATTTTTTATCTTCATTTTATTATTTCTCTCTACGGTTTTTTGTTCTTCTTGGCTCTACTGCTGGTAGGCATAATTTATGCCCATAGAAGGGAAATATTTAACGCCTTTCAACAAAATCGAGGCTCTCTCCGTATATATAAAAACCCTAGTAAAAACCTCAAGCTGGCATCTATAAAATAAAAGTAAATTGGTTGTCCGGCTTTGGTTGGTTTGCTGCTGGCCCGCTTTTCCCGCTTGATTTTCCCCCTTGCCACAAAAACAGCCCCCAGTTCCGCATTTTTCTCCACGTTTTTTTTTCCTACAAATATATGTATAATATATATATATATTTTCTCCTTTCCTCGTGTCGAGTTGTTCAAGCTGTGGCATAATTTTTACGCATTTGCTTGGACCCCTCTCTCTAGCAGAAGTGTTTGATAAAAAGAAAAGAAAGAAAAAAAATATATATATCAAGGAAAGGGGCGATAGAGCGGAGTGGGCGTGGCACACGCATAGACTTCCTGCTTGTACTACTACTATTACAAAAAAAAAAAAAAAAAAAATATATATAAATAATAAAGAAAAACGTTGAGCAGAAAAAAACAGAGGCTGCGTGTTGGTGGAGCAAAGTTAAACAATTCATGGTCGAAGCTTATGCTTTATACGCAAAACTTTGAGTTTTGATTTCGGATGTCAGAGAAGCTCTAATTTTTTTCTTCTACCATTTTTTTTTTTATTTATTGTGTGTGTGTGTGTGCTTATCTATGCCGCCGGCTGCCAAGACGCACATCGTGGCACACACACACAAACGCACTCTGAAATGAACTACAATGGGTACTTTGCATGCCCTTTGTGGTTCCAAAAGAGTCCATTGAATTCAATATAGGTTTGGGTCTTAAATGAAAAAAAATTAAAAGAAACTAGATATTTTTTATATTTTTTTTAACCATTTTACAATGTTAAAAGGAAAAAAAGTGGTTTAAGATACTCAATATAAAAAAATATACAAGACCGTTCCTTTTTAATGTTTTTATTAAAACTATTATTATATTTTGTAGAGCTATTAGAATATGTACTGTTTGTATAAATATTTCATACTTACTTACCCAATTTTGCTCCTAAAAGCCTTCTTTATTTTAATCCTTTGTACATTATAAGGAGTATCTATAATAAAGAAATATAAACATGTGAGATATTAATAGAATTTTATTTAGATAATTAATCAGATAAATTGGTTTGTATTTTATTATTGTTAAAGTTGTATATTTCAGATTCACGAATGTCCTTTAAGAAAATGGTAGACATTTCTAAAAATTATTTGTGCATTTTAACAATGTTAATGATATTTTAAAAGGTTAACAATGTAGCTTCAGATTCTTAATATGTATTGATAAACGGAAAACAAAAAGAAATTAAATTATTATTATTTTTATAAAAATATTTAAAACGTAGCTTTTTTTATATATTCCTAAATAGAAATTTTAATATGAAAATTATCCAAGTCTTCTTACTAAAACAAGATCTTATACTTCACCTAAAAATCTCACTTTAATTCACCTTAATTAATGGAATTAAAACCTATAAAATTCGTTTAAACTTCTTTACTTTTTCTCTCAAATAAACCCCAAAATTAATAAAATAAAACATAATCAACTTCTTAAATTAACTATTTAAATTAAAGGTAGAGTACCACCTTCTCGTCTAACTAAATTAACGCAAAAATCGCAGAAAATTTCTGCTTGTTTATGTTTATTTGTTTGGGGCCGCGACGTTTGCCAAAAACCAAGGCTGTCTGTCTATATATCTGCGCGATGTGTCCCTGCCACCCCTTTATTTCATACCCACTTCAATCCCCTTCCCCTTTCCCTCCCTCTCAATCCCTGCTCCTTTTGCAGGCTCGT